TTGACCACGGGCACCGACCCATTTTCTTTGATGTGAATCAGGGCGGAGGCATGCTTGTCGCCTGCACCCGCTGCTGTTATTACACTTGTGGTGGGCAGGTCAGGAAGCTCGGCAAGCCGTGCTGTGGGCCCCCCGACCCCAAATGCAAGTCTGATCATGGTAGGATGCACGCCTGGGGTGAGATTTTGAAGGGAAAGCACCCCAAGTCGGGTATAAGCCTTTCGACGGGGCTGGAAGATCCAGTGAGTATGTCGGACGGGCCACTCGCTGATGACTCTTCCCCTGTTCCCGACCCTCCTGCTCCCCAGGCTCCTGTTGAGGGGCCCAGGCAGCAGGTTTGGCCCCCAGGCTTTTTCGATGAATACGAGGCGGAGGAGGAGGCAGCTCTCTCCCTCGGCCACACCGCGACGGCCATCTTGGCCGACCACCAGGCGCCGCCCGCGCCGCCCGCCCCTGTCGTCCCGCCGTCCTCTCGTCTGCACCTGGGGGACGAGGCGGGACAGACTGGGCCGCCTGGGGGTCTGGGACTTTCTTCTTCCTCCTCCCCTCCCAATGCGGAGGGGGTGGTGGACCCCTTTTCCCCTTCCCCCCCAAAGGGGGGGGAAGGGAAGGAGCAGCTCCGACGAGTCAGGTTTCGCCTCCAGGAGGAGGAGGACGCGGCCCCGCTTGTCCGAGCTGCTCGCGTAAGGTCTGCGGAGTCTGACGACTCCGACTGACCTCGGTCCCTGGGGTGCCCGCCGCTCGCGTCGGCCACCGCCTCGGTCCGTTGCCGCCAGCTCTGTTTCAGCCCAGGCTGTCTCAACCTGTCGGCTCACCTCCTCTGCGGTTGATGTTGAAAAAACCCCCCTCCAACTTGTGGTGGTGGTGGTGCCAAGCACGCCCATCGCCGGCGGGAGCCGCGCGCCTCGGCTGCCGCAGCGGGGGCGGCGCCCCGCGTGCGCGGGCGGGGGATGTTGCCAGCGAGGGGGGGGGGCCACGCCACCAGGGAGGCCCCCCTTGCCTCCTCGCCTCTCCTCGCCCCGGCGGTGTTGGCGCCGCCCGTCCTCGTTCCTGCGTGGGGGGGCGGGGTCGCCGGCCAGGCTCTCGGGCCTACGAGCGGGCGGGGGTGAGATGGATCGGGCGAGGTGGAGCGGGGGAGGAAGGGAGTTCCACTGCGCTTTGGCTGAGAGCAAGTCCACGTTGACCATCCCCTGCCAGTGCTGGTGTGCGGATCTGTTTGCCCGAAGGCCCCCCTGATGTTCTGCGCCGTCCTGTCTCCAAGTTGCTCGGAGGAGCAGCAGTTGACGGAGGAGGAGGAGGAGTAGTAGGAGGAGGAGGACCATCATCAATGCTCATCTGAGCTACCTCATCGGTTTAGCATCAGATTGGATTCTAGCTTCTAGCCTGCTCGTCCTGGCCCTATCATTCAACCGCACCGTTTCCCCCCCAGGCAATGTGCCGTCCTGGCGCCATGCACGTGTTGGAGGAAGGGGTAATGGTTGATTTGAACTGATGGATAAAACGATGTGTCAAGCTGAGAGTGCTGGCCGTGTTCATGCCAAACCACTTACTAAACAAGGATGTGTGATGGCGGACAACTCCTGCCTCCAAGGGCGAGTGCGGCAACGCCAATGCTAGACCATCGGGACTTTTCTTTTGCTCCCCAATCTGATTACCCCACGTCGCTCTCGCCCGAGCTCTCCCCCTGGCAGCTGCGCCAATCTGGCGCCGCGCGCGACTTGGAGGGGTCGATGGTTGCTTCATGATCGGAAGGACAACGAGTTGAGGCGGCATTGCGCACACTTCGGGAGGCCTTGAAGTCGATTCCAGCCTTGTCGGATCACATATGGATTCGTAGTTTCGCTATCTTTGGTAGTTGCCCAGAGTTTAACATCGAAAAAGCATTCAGTTCGTTGTAGTGTTGGGCAGTTGCGGAACGAACTTGCAGTTTGCGCGTGCGTGGTGCTGGGCGCGGTCTTCTCCTCACATAGCGCGCGCCGCGGGATGGATCGATTTCGTGGCAGTGCGGGCATGGGGTTGCAGAACATGCGCGCAGAGTCGTTCTGATCTTTCTATGGGGTTTGAGCTCTCCTTCTGGCGCGACGGAATGGGTTTGGGATTGCACTCTCGGCGGCGTGAGTTTGACCAGCAAGTTGCGGGTTGATGGGTGGGTCGGTGCGTGAGGATGCCGACCAACAGTTCGGTGTGCCTTACGGGTTCCGCCTCCTAAATCTGAGTATACCCTACCCCATGTATGATTTCGCATTTGTATCCAGCGTGGTCCACCGTCCTACTTACATGGAACGTTGTGGCGTCCAAGCCACAGCAGTATCGATTCCCCACGCATCCTTGCCGAGAGGTGCAATACCACAGCTAGACTCGTCCGCGCCGATGTGCCAAGCTCGTGCTGTGGGCAGCCGTGCCGCTGCACACAGACGACACGGCGCGGCCCCCGCGCGCTATCCCCTTGCGTGCGCACGCCCAGATGATGGCAGCCTTCTCTCGGGCGTCCCAGCACTTCTGCGCACGCCTGCCCACGCGCACGCGAGGAGCACGTGGCCCTCCTGCGCGCGCGCACTGGCTCGACTCACAAGATGGGTTTGCCCTCCTCCTCCTCCTCCTCCTCCTCCTCCTCGTCATCATCATCGCCAGAACCATCGTCATCATCATCATCATCATCATCATCATCACCATCATCACCATCATCATCATCATCATCATCATAATCATCATCGTCATCACCATCATCATCATCATCATCATCATCATCATCAGCATCATCATCATCACCACCATCCTCCTCCTCCTCCTGCTCCTCCTCCTCCTCCTCATCATCATCATCATCATTACCATCACCCCCCCTGCCACTCCTGCCACCTGCTCCCCTGCCAGGGCCACGCGCGGGCCCCCCCGCGCGCGCATGCGTGCCGGCGGCACCCGCGCGCATGCGGGCCGGCGTCGGGAGCTCCGAGCCTGCCCCCGGCGCGGCAGCGATGGCGCGGCGTTCCTCAGTCGGGGGCGGAAAAGAGGGGGGTGATCAGTAGGTCAGAGCCCCGAATCATCAGGGGTAACTCGGGTCAGGGCTAACTCGGGTTTGTTTTTCGGGATTCCGAGCCCGAGTTATCCCGGACCCGAGTTACCCCGGATATTTCGGGCGTCCAGGGCCCCGAATCATCAGGGGTAACTCGGGTCAGGGCTAACTCGGGTTCGTTTTTCGGGAACCCAAACCCGAGTTACCCCGGACCCGAGTTACCCCGGATAACTCGGGCGTCCAAGTAGGGGGGGGTGGATACCATGGCGGGGGCCATGATATGTCCCCAGATTTCATGGCGCCTCTTCTTATTCCATTACGTCTCTGGCCGCCCCGCTGGGCCGCGCACGTGCCGCCGGTCATGACTTGCGCCCCCCCCTCTTGCACACCCCCCTCTTGGCCGCTCCCGACTCAGGTCTGCACGAACGGAATGGGCACGGAAAGAATGGGTGCAATGCCGAACAGCGGGTCTTGTTCATTTCGAACAGGACTCGCTGTCCGCGCCGCCGCGGCATGTGTCCACTCGAGACGGGAGGCCGCCCGCCCAGCAGCGGCCGCTGTTGGTTTGGGGCAACATTTGTTGTTGGGCGTCCAAAGCAGGGCTCGCGTCGACTCCTCCGATTCGCTTCGGTTCGATCTCGACGGCTTCCGATTCCGCTCCGCTTCGGCTCGGGAGTCCGGCGTGGGCTCCGATCTCTCTTATGGGAGGCATGCGAGCTTGCCGGTCTCTGCCGATTCGACTTTTCCGGACTCGGCTGCCGATTTCCGCCGACCCGATTCGTTACGATCGCCGATCCGACTTCTCCATTCGATTCTGGGCTCTCCGGGTTCCGCGCGGCCCCTCCGCAGGCGGTCGGGCGGGGTTGGCTGGGCGGGGGGGGCTGGCCCGCAGGTGCATCATTTTGCGGAGCTGGGCTCTCCTGGCGCCATGGGCCGAACGACCCGCATCGCGGGACGGTTGGTCGCCAAGAAAACCATCGATTTAACGCTGGCCGCGCACACGCGCCAACGCAACATCTACTGCGACCGAGTGGGCGCCCTGGAGGGGAGGAGGAACAGGGGGGGGCGAGGCGGGAGGGCGGGCGTGGGGGGCGAGGGAGCCAGGGCATTGAAGGGGTGGAGGAGCGAGGAGTGGGGGATGGGGGAGCGGGCGCCAGGACGGGGACGGGGGGAGAGCGGGGGGCATGGTGCAGGAAGGGCCCGGATGGGTGCAGGGGAGAGAGGGGGGATGGGGGAGGGGGCGCCAGGATGGGGACGGGGGGCGGAGGCGGGGACACGGAGGGAGGGCTTCCACGCGAGGCAGGGAGGCAGGACGGGAAGGCAGCTGAAGGCAGGGGGATCCCAGGCTATCCGCGCGGGCGCGGATGCGATCGCGCTTACGCGACTCGCGCTGCGCGAAATGCGACGATGGGGTGGCGGAGCTGGGGGCACTCCTCGCTTGCGCGCGCCGCGATCGTCGAGGCCATTGGGCCTCGCGCGCCTTCGCCTCGCGTTCCGCTGAGCACTTGTAGGGGTGACGGCACAACCACGCGCGGGCGCGCGCCATGTCCCCACGATGGAAGAGCAAGGAGGAGGGGCGCGAGGGGGGGGAAAGGTTACGGTTACCGACTTCCTGAGGGTCCCGCATCACAATCTCAATGTCGGGTTGGATCCTCAGCAGAGCTCTACGCCTTGTTCACCTCGCGGCAGTTCACGCTGCCCCTCCCATCCAGTGAACGGGAGGGCCCTCTCACGGTCCCCTCACAGGCGCCTCACAGGGGAGGGGGAAGGAAGATGAGGAGCAAGGCGAGCTCCGCGGACGCTGCTGATCTCAGCCGTGGTGGTCGCGCTGCTGCTGCGTTCCGCTGCGCACGCGTGGAACACATACTGCTGGCAGTCGTCGTGGCCGTCGCCGCTGGCGCGAGCGCGGGAGCGATGCCAGTTTCGACGCCGAGGGGGAGGGTCCCTCCCGAGTGGTGATGCCCGGCGATGAGCTTGCGTGCGTGCTGAGGCGCCCGCGCATCTATTGGCGGATGTCCACCACAAGGCAGGCCGCCTCCTCTTTGTTGCTCCCCTCTGGCGCCCCCGCCGCATCCTGTGGTTTTGTCCTCCGTCGATGCCCATCCACGATGCGATCGATCAGATGATGCGCGCTGGCGCCTGCGCGACACATCGCTCGATCCGACCGCACACTCCAAACGGCGACGCTTCTCATCATCTTGCGATGCTCGATTCGACTGCTTCGATGTTCAAGCGATTCGATCAGTTTGCGATCCAGGGCAGCCGCTGGACAGCTACATGCACCTTTTGGCCATCAACTACGAACGCCTATATCCTATATTGCAGTAGTTAGCGGGGGAGACTGGATGTTGAGGAAACATTTGCGGAGGATTCGACACGTTCTAGAGGGCTGGTAAGGTGCTTCTCGTTGCCTAGCATCATTTAGGTATGCTATCTACTATGTTCGCTGTTGTTTCGCCCCTCCCCTTTTCATCCTTCCTTCTCCTCTCTATCGGGCCTCTTTCGCCCAACCCTCCTGTGTTGGGTTTCGTTTCGAATCGAGCGCTGTGCTATCCACTCATCCTTCTCCCCCCTCCTCCTGCCTCCTGCGCTGCTCCCTGCATGGCTGCAGAATGCGCAATCAACACTTTCCTGGGCTCTTGGGAGATCCAGTGGAGTGGAAGTGTACGCGCGTCCAGCCAAGCCTCGCGGTTCCCTGGGAAGTTGCGAATTGCATTAGTGCCGCCACTTTCCTGGGCTCTTGGGATATCCAGCGGAGCGGGGGTGTACGCGCATCCAGCCGAGGCCTCGCGAATTCCTGGGAAGCTGCGAACTGCGTAAGTGTCGCCACTTTCCTGGGCTCTTCGGAGGTCCAGCAGAGTGGAGGTGTATGCGCATCCAGCCGAGACCTTACTGCTTCCCGGGTGGTTGCGAACTGCGTAATTGTAGCCTTTTTCGTGGGCTCCTGGAAGGTCCAGCGGGGCGGAGGCTTACGCGCATCCAGCTGATACCTTACTGCTCCCTGCAGGGATGCGAAGTTCGTAGTCGTCGCCACTTTCGTGGGCTCCTGGGAGGTCCAGCGGAGTGCAGGTGTACGCGCATTCAGACGGGACCTGGCGGCTCTCCGGGCCGGGTGTCACTCCGAGACCTCGCGGCCCCGTGGGGGGCTGTGAACAGCGCAGCTGTTGCCACTCGTGCGTGGGCTCCTGGGAGGCACGGCGGAGGTGAGGGCAGCGCACATCACTTTGAGACCTCGCGGCTTCTGGGGTCTGCGAATTGCGCAACTGTCGCCAGTTTCGCGGGCTCCTGGGAGGGATGGCAGAGGTGAGGACAGGGCCGATCATTTGAGACCTCGCGACTCCCTTGGAGGCTGCGAAGTGCGCAACCGTCGCCACTTTCGTGGGCTCCTTGGAGGCATAGCGGAGTGCAGGACGCCCACATGCTGCGTGGCGCCGTCGCGTCATTTAGCGCGGGACGCTATTGCATCACAGAGCGCAGATCGCCGGAACATCACGTAGCGCGTGTCCTTGTCCTCAGCGGCCCACTCCTGCTCAGGTGCGTGACGCGCGTGGCCCGACAATGTTCGGCGAAGGAGTTCAGAGTGTTGCATTTCTCGCAATGTGTTCTTGGGAGCGTTCATATAGATAGCCGCCTTGCATGGAGACAAGGTAGGGTACGTCTCGGGAAGTGGTCGCTCATGTAAGCGACCACTTCTGCTGCGGGGGTCTTCGCTCCCTCTCACCTTCGGTCTCCTCCTCCTCCTCCTCCTCCTCCTTCGTCCTCGTTCTGGCCCTGTCCCGCGAGTTTATTGGCAATGCGATCTGATTCGCAGTGCCAGCTGAGGTGTGACATATGCGTGGTTTGTCGGCGGATGCGCTTCGCTGCAGGAAGAGAACAGAAGACGGCCCCTCGCGTTTTGGAAGGCCGATCTCCCTTTTCCCTGCCTCCTGTTGCCCATACCTCCCACGCATGGAAACCAACCACTGAGGGAACAAAATGGCCCAGCTGTCATTCGCTGGCGGCCAGTCGTCGATACATTCCTGCTCTTGCCCACTGCCTTGCGCACGGGACAGGAAGCGCCCCACCAGTACAACCAGTCCCGGGGAGGAGGACGCGGAGGAGGAGGAGGAGGATGAGGAGGTGGAGAAGGCGGAGGAGGAGGCGGAGGAGGAGGAGGAGGCCGAGGAGGCGGAGGAGGAGAAGGAGGAGGAGGAGGAGGAGGAGGCCGAGGAGGCGGAGGAGGAGGAGGAGGAGGAGCAGGAGGAGGAGGAGGAGGAGGAGAAGGAGGAGGAGGAAAAGGAGGTGGGGAGGAGCTGGTTTGCAGGATGCAGGTGTGCAGGGTTGGCCGCGGGCGTCCCCCGGCCTGCCCTCCCTTCCCCCCCCCTGCCTTTCCCCCCTCCGCGCGCCGTTGTCTTGTCGTCTCGTCGTCGTCGCCTCCTCCTTCTCTTGGCACAGGGCTTCTCTCGGACGGTAGGAACGTGCAGGTCTGCCCGCGGGAGCGCCCGAGAAAGCATGCTATGCGCCACCACTCGTGGGCGGGTAAGACGTCCGTGTCCACGACCTCGCGGGCCGGAGCCTCCGGCCGCGACCCCCACGGATACAGGGGGGGGCTGCGTGGATGCGCCGTGAGGAGGCGCATCCCTGGGATCGCACGTCCGTGGGGTCGCTCCTGGGCGTACTTCCCGCGAGGGGCGGGCGTAGATTTTTTCGGCGGGCAGCGAAGCGGGGAAGCGAGAGAAGGAGAAGGCCTTCTTCTCTCAGAAGGCGGCGGGACGTCTCAGGAGCCCTTGCGCCGAGGGCTCTCACAGCACTTCGCGGAAGGCCGGGGGTCTTTTCCGAGCCTTCGGAAAAGGCCCGCCCCTCCGCACCCCTCTTCCTCCCCATTCTCCTCCTCCTCCTCATCCTCCTCCTCCCTCTCCTCCTCCTCCCCCTCCTCCTCCCCCTCCTCCTCGTCCCCCTCCCCCTCCTTCTCCTCCTCCTCCTCCTCCTCGTCCTCCTCCTCCTCCTCCTCCCCCTCCTGGAGCCCGTTTCTTTATTGCTTGGGGCATGACGGGCGTCATGGCCCCGGCCTCCCTTCCCCCCCCCTATGACGTAACGCTCCCCCCCCCAGTGCGTTCCGGGCACTGCCGCGGTGCGCATCGTGATCCGCATAGGAGTCCGAATAGGAGTCTGGTCCGCAGTCGTCGTCGTCGTCGTCGTCGTCGTCGTCGTCGTCGTCGTCGTCGTCGTCGTCGTCGTCGTCGTCGTTGTCGTTGTCGTCGTCGCTCGTCGCTCGTCGCTCGTCGCTCGTCGCTCGTCGCTCATCGTCGTCGTGCGCGTGGACGCAGCTGGAGGCTGGTTTTTTATTCCGGGCCGATGGCGGAAATTATCTGGGGGGGTGGAAGGGGGCCGATGACGTCACGTTTCGCGCTGGCGGCGTCTGGGAATGCCTAGGAATCACCAGGGTCGGGTAGCAGCAGCATGTCGGTGGCGATCTGCACCACAACGCCTGTGTACTCTACAGTGCCTTCGTGCACCACCGCATTTGTGTACACCACACCGCCTATGTACACAGCAGCCGCGTGCATCACAGCGCCAGTGCGTGCCACAGTGCCTGTTGGCACCACAGCGCTTGTGTACACCACAGCGCCTGCGTACACCACATCAGCCGTGTACAACACAGCACCAGTGTACACCACAATGCTTGCGTGCACTCAGCACGGCACCGGTGAATACACCATTCTGCGGTGCACGCTGAGACGCGCACGTGCGCTGTAGTGCCGACCCGCACGACGGGGTGGAAGGGTGAGGGAGGAGGACGGGGAGGAGGAGGACGAGGAGGATGAGGAGAACGGAGAGGAGGAAGAGGACGAGACGGAGGTGGAGGAAGGAGGAGGGAAAAACGTCGCATTCTATTATCAGCACTTCCATTGCGTGGCGTTCAGCTGTCCTCACCAGATTATCACCTTCATGTTCCTTCTACCTGTCCTGTGCACGCAGGCATTCAGCGCTGCGTTGCACGCGGATGCTGTGGTGTAGACAGGCACTGTGGTGTGCAAAGACGCTGCGGTGCACGTAAGCATTGTGGTGTAGACAGGCGTTGTGTTGCACATGGCTGCTGCGGCGTACACATTCGCTGTGGTGTACACCAGCGCTGTGGTTCACGCAAGCACTGTGGTGTACACAGGCGCTGCGTTGCACACGGCTGTTGCGGTGTACGCAGGCGCTGTGGAGTACACTAGCGCTGTGGTGCACGCGAGCATTGTAGTGTACACAGGCGTTGTGGGGCAGATCGCCACCTGCATGCTGCTCGCCTCGTCGTCGTCGTCCTCGCTCGTCGCTCGTCGCTCGTCGCTAATCGTCGCCGTGCGCGAGGGCGCGGCTGTGGTGCCGGAGCCGCACGGCGGGGGGGGGGGCGTTACGTCATACCCCCCCCCAAGCCCATCCCCACCCCCCCGTGACGACCGTCATCGCCGATGATAAAGAAACGCGCTCCTCCTCCCCCCCCCCGCGTCGCTCGCAGCCGAGATCTGCACAGGGACGTGCGCGTCGCTCGTGGGCCGTCACCGCCCTGGCCCTTGGTCGTGCCTCAGCCCCCTCCGCGTGCCGGCGCTGGTGCGCTCTGCCTCCCCCGAGTATTTTTGCGTCTTTGTACCGTCCGTCGCTGGAGGAGCGCGCTCGAAGGCGTGGATGTATTGTCTTGCTGGGCGTGTCATTCGTAGGGTAGTTATGGTTCGCCACGGAGGGAGGGTGTCCTGATGAAAACGGGTCCTCTTCCCCTGAGTTCTCCGCAGATCCAATTATACATCCAGAGTCCTTTTTGTTGACGGTCCTGGGTCCGTGGAGCGTCAGCCTTGGTTCGCCTAAAGGCCTACCAACGAATGTTCCAAAAAATGTGGTCTGCACGGCATGTTCTCAGAACGCTCCTGGCTGAGTCTGCCTTGTCTTCACACATCGGGCTCCTGTTCTGAGAACACGTTGCCTTGACTCTTACAAGGTCTTTCGGGGTTCTAAGAACATGTCGTGGTAGGC